CCTGACTACTTCTCGAAGACGCGCGCGCCGCCTCGCAAAAGGTCGTTAATTTCGCCCCTATGACAAAAAACAAAATTCCGCCACGCAGGAGTTGTGCGCGTTTACAACATCTTTCCGACGACACCAATTTCAAAAGAATCGGACCAAAACTGTAGTAGAAGATAGGAAAAAACTGAAAAACCTTCACGTTAGTATACTACGCTCGAGGATGACGCCCAGATGTCGCCAACCCCACATCATGTAGCCATGTCCCTAAGGTTGACAAATTTCACGGCCCTGTAGATACACGTACACCCGTTGCCTTTCTACAAGAGTTCTTCTACGCGGCCACATTTGCTGCCAGCCAGCCAGCCAGCCAGCCAGCCAGCCAGCCAAAGTGAGATTAAAAGCTACTTTTTACAAAAAAAATTTTTTGCAAAAATGCGCTAAAAAGGGGACATTCTGTTCTTACGTCTCGTTGGAATTAGAAGTTTTGTATAAGCGTAAATAAATTGTGTAGTTTTTATATTGAGTTCTTATTAGTACTTGCTCAGCAATTTTACGGGTTGATCAGTGAAATGCGTATTTAACAAATTACTAATTTCAGTTTTTTTGGAGTACTCCTTCCCCTCGTGTTTAATAATTGTTATGTTTGGTGTATTGTTTTTCTTCCCCATTATAGAGTGCAAAATTTTCCAAGTTTTACTTGAGTCGTTACGATTATTCGATAAAAGTTCATTGTAGTACTGGGATTTTGCGTGAATTATCATACTATTTAATTCGGAATCTAGTGCTTTTAGTTTGTTAAGTTGTATGAAATTAAATGGTTGCATTTTTACAGTTTTATTAATCTTATTACGCGAATTTAATTTATCGATAATCAAATTTGTCATCCACGGATTGTTTAACTTACGTTGACATTTTCTGGTTATTTTTGTTGTTGTTTTTGATCCATTAGTAACATTTCCGAGAAGTAATATAAAATTATTTGTGGTAGTTTCAGTGTCTTGCTTTGTGGTAACAAATCTCCAGTCAGTGTTATTAATTAGTTCACTTATCTTATAGTAATTTAGTTTTGTAATCATTTTGTTACAACAGGGTTTCGCTAAGTGAATTTTATTAGTGAGAGGAAATTTTACCGCGGTCAAACTGTGATCGGTTATTCCGACAGGCGACATGGATAACGGCTGACTTAATAAAATTATCGTCAAAGTTTCCTTTAATAAAAAATATCAGCCATATGCATATTTTATGTTGTCGTACAGAAAATTGATTGCTCAAAAATCTTAAAAAAAGATAGGCATTGCATTTGAAATACAAAAGGTGTCTCCAATTCCGGCTAAACCATAAGTGATACCGGAAGTATGAGTGTGTGAAAACTTAATTTATGTGCCATGTGGAATAAATTTTAATTTTGAAACTTTCTTTATATGAACCATGGGCTCCCTTGGTAGGACCTTCAGGAGACTGTGCTTTTTGACAATCCGTGTTAACATTCTGGGGGTTGCCCTTTGTTTGTAGAATGGTTAGGGGATGGCGCGGATTTGTTCTCACCATTACCATTTTCTTCTTCAGATCCTATTAAGTGCGAGGTGGTAAAGCTTTTGATGCGGACGTAATACAAGTACGCAAACGCAGATTCTTACTGAGAACACAGTTTAATAGATATCGAGGATAGATTATTGGTATTTGGGGGACCGCACAAAAACTTCTTGCATCCCTTTCACCATTGCGCACATCAGAAACGTGAAGAATAAATAAAAAACTAACATGAAGTAATATTAAATTAATACTAAAATATTGTTGTTTTACTACCTACCAAACTTTACTGCAAGTATTAGGAAATCGATATAACCTCGTGCGATTGCAATTAAACTCGTTCTTTTGCATAAAAGATTAATTGGTACACACTGACATCCCAGGGTTATTTCTGAAAGCGGCCTAGTCCGAGCTGGTGTTGAGTAACAATAATAATAAATATTGGTATAATTGTAGTAAAATTGTATGCACGTTAAACATCCATTTTAGGCCCGGATGGGTCCGATACTTCATAGAACGCCTATGTTGCGTAAAAGTCAGTTTCCAGATTTTTATTGGTTTGTTGACCGAAAGTTTCTCGCAACAGCAGAGAGTTTCTGACATTCTGTTTTTTTTAAATTCCATTTTATAGCACCATTTTCAAGAAGAAAATTCCATTCTTTGCAAATGGTTTGTTGGTTTGTTCGCTTATTATTTACAAGCGACGCAATTTTAACTTTTTGTTGAAAATGGTACTATAAAGTAGAATTGGGTAAAGGAAGGGAACTGGTGAAGGTACTGTAAAGTAGAATTTGATCATTTGTTGTACGCTCGTGAATGATCCCTTGGGGAAAGTTACCACTGTGGAAGGTTTTACGCGAGGTTTTGGTGGAGCTTCGTCTCGTCAAAATACCTTCAGTCTCAATGCGCAAAATAACTTCGCGCTAGCGTTATATACAACATTTTTCTACAACTGAACCGATTGTTAATTAAATTTGCTGTTCATGTTCTACTTTGTCACGTGCGCGAAATCGTTTTTTCACTGTTGACGATTTCGCGCACGTTGTCAAGAGCAACATTACTTATTAATTAACCGTTTAAATAGTATATTAAGATACAAGTGTATAATCAAGTTTTTAAAGCACGCGCAACGAGTTTAAGGGCACGACGCAAAGCGGAGTGCCTTTAACGTTGCAACTGCTTTAAAGACCAATTATACACGTGTATCTTATAGTATTTTTTATTATACCTGCAGTATAATTTAAAAATAGGAAATCAATGAAATCATATTGACGTTACACTCGAATACATGTCTAATTAAGTGGGCTGGGTGTTCGTAATTTCACGATTGCCATGGAAATGTCACTTGATGTTTGCTTATAAAAATCATCGTCTTTATGAATTAAACGATTTCCGTTGAAAAAGATAATTCACCGCCCATTAAATCGATTGTTGTAAAATCTAAACAAACGTTGGTAGGTGTAAAATCCAACTCCAGTAAAGCCTATTATAAAGAATATGAAACGTTGTTTCCATGGATGAATAGGAAGTTACTTACGAATACAGTCTTAAATGCATCCATAATGCTGGCATATATGAAGGAAATGTCAAAGGTATTTAAATCTTCTATATTTTGGTGCATTCATTCAAAACTTTAAAACAATGCTATGAGATTAAAAAGTGGAACAGATTTGGAAGCATACCCTAAATTACGCGCGTTTGTGAAAGCTTCAACCAAAGGATAGGTACAAAAGCCAAAGAAATGTTCTGCATTTACAGAAAGCGACCTAAGAGGATTTTTTATTTCATCAGATGATAGTTTCAAAAGTCATACTTGAAGTATCGTTACTTAGCAACTTTAAAGCACGTGTGTTTTAAAGGCCCTTTTTCGCACGCATTTGAGTGTTTAAAACGGAGATTGTGATTCAGGTATAATAAAAAATTTAGTATTTCGTGTTTCGAAATTCGTGAGAAAATGACAGGTTTTTTGACAGTTGTAGAATAGTATATTAAAACATAAGTTGCAGAAGGCCCTCTATTCTAACACGAGTTCAAGTTTCGAACCTGATGAGCCGCTCGAATGAACAAGTGCTTTAGAAGGCCTTCTGCAACGAATGTTTTATACTATTTTCTCTGTTTCGGGCTCGTTTCGCATTGTTTATTAATTATGGATAAATTTAAATATATTCGATATAAATTGTGTTGGCAGTACTGACTATTTGCTTGGTTTCCATAGTAACCGATCTTTCAAATTTCTTCACGAGATATTTTTGCGAAATTATCTTTAGATTTGAAAAATAAAATCCATTACCTACATTTCACTAAAGAGCCTACAATGTCAGACGAAGAATTAACTTCAACACCACCGGAATTGCGTGAATTAGCTGATAATGCGGTAAATGATTTGGTGCTATCCAAGTCTAAAAATGAGTACCAAAAGGAGTATGAAAAATTTGAATCTTGGCGCATTGAAAACAAGGTGCAAACCCTCACAGAAAATGTTTTGCTTGCATACTTCGAAATTCTTAGTAAGACTTACAAAAGTTCTACATTATGGAAGACATACTCGATGCTTCGATTGATGATAAACATCCGACAAAACGTTGACATTTCAAAATTTATGAAGCTTCAAGCATTTTTGAAACGATTATCGGTAGGGTTTGTACCCAAAAAATCAAAGATACTGGAATATAATGATATAGAAAAATTTATTAGTTCTGCACCGGATATGGATTATCTCATTATAAAGGCGAGTTCATAACATTTTGTCATGTACACTAAAACTACAATACTATTTTTAGGTAATATTAATTATGGGTTACTCGGGCGCCTGCAGACGTCAAGAGCTTATTAATATCGAGCTTGACGACATTGAATATAAAAGTCAATCGGTTTTTGTCACAATAAAAAAAAGTAAAACCCATCACCCAAGATTATTCGCAATAAAAAATGAGCATTGGATACATTTAATAAAAAAATATTATGGTTTAAGACCATCCAATGTGAACCACCAACGGTTTTTTATATATTATAAAAGTGGCCGTTGCACAAAACAGCCCATTGGCATTAATAAAATGGGAGAAATGCCACGAATTATAGCAAAGTACCTCAACCTACCTGAATGGGCTTTATTTTCTGGGCACTGTTTTAGAAGGTCTTCCGCGTCACATTTGGCAAATAGTGGCGGTGATTTAATTACGGTGAAACAACATGGAGGCTGGAAGAGCTCTGCCGTAGCAGAAGGTTACATCGAGGCATCCATTAGCAAAAAAATGGAAGTTGCCGAAATGTTGTCAAACAGTGGTGGACCTCCATCAGTTAGACAGTCTACTTTTACTGCTCCTCCAGCAACAGCTTCCAGTTCCAATGCTGGTTTTATACAGCCTGAATTAAGTAACCCAGAAAATACTAATGTGTCGCAGCAAAATCTGCCCGGCATTTCAGTCAATGCAGGAGTAAATTCAACCGTTAGAATTACTATTTAGAATAATTACAACACCTCTTCATAATGTATAATTTTGTACAGTTAAGCAAGTTGTTTAGTTTCATATACTTTCTGTTTTATTCTTATTCCGCATTACTTATTTATTACTGACAACTGAGAGCAGTCACTTGATCAATCGTATTGACGTAGGTTGCTAAAGCTAGCACGGCTTTCTGATATCATACTGTAAACAAAATGGGCCCCCGAAATCTCAAACTGCATACGAAGTGTAACGCAATTTGGCTTCAGTTAGTTAGTAGAGGAAATTCCGCTTCAATCTTGACAAAAACTCCTTATGTGAAGGATGCAGCTTTCGATGTGGGATCTTCGACCAAAGTTATCCGAATATAATAACTGAAATAATTTAGCCATGAAGAACTGTTTGCACCTTAACAATTGGAGTTATTTTACCCAACTTACAGCTTACCTTACGATATCAAAAATGTGTTCATTTTAATAAAAATGGTTTCCTTTAGAGTAGTAGATACTTATTCGTATATTTCGAGGTCTTCATTTTATGATAATTACTTTGCCCTTGCAATCAGTTCATACCTACAAGTAGGGTTAGTTAAGTATCAATAACATATTTATGACAACGAAACCACACGGCTCACCGTAACATATGTATATTACATGGACATTATCGATATTGTTAATTACATTACGCATCTTTAAGTTATTTAGAAATGATCGACGTTCACGGCACCTAACATCAGCTTCCGTCATCGATACGCCGACTGTCAAACTTAATGCAAACTCTCGAAAAAAAAAGTCACTAAAAATCGTTTAAGAATAGAGTTCAAACTAACACTAAAATACGGGCGAGAATGACGTATTCTAACACCTAAACAGAGAAAAAAGTAATTGCAAGTTTTTTTTTCTTCAAACACTGGCTCTTATAAACAAGCGATATCGTCAACAACTTCCACTTTTTAAATTTTTTTTAAAAGCGTGCAATATTTTCTTTATCAACTTTAAAAACACTTCTTTCTAACAATGAGACTTTCTACACAAAGGACACAACATTAGTTGCTTTATTTTCAAATGTCATTAATTTAAATAAAAGAATTTCCCATTTTTATATGATAATACCTGAACCTACGTTCAGTTTAACAAAGACGAACCTTCCATATGATAGTCGACTCAGATCGCCGTTGGACGGCCTTGTCAGACAGCAAGATCTTAGGTAAAGGTACCAATCCGAACTTGGCTGTCGCGACCCATTGCCGCGACCCGCTTTGGCCGCCCAGTCGCGCTAAAATCGCAAACTGGCTGCGCTCCCGGGCGGCGCGATCCGGTCGCCTGGATGGGAAAATGCGGCTATGTGTTTTAATTAGAAATTTGTATGTAGGTAAACTAGAAACTATTGCTTTATTTTGAATTATTTAACTTGTTTTTATTTCTAATTAAGATGGGGCGCTTATAATTAGAATAGGTAAGTGTACCTTCTCCAAAAATTGTAATTTAAAAATAACATTACTTTGTACATTAATGGGAGAAATGATTATGATGATGATACAAATCCCTATTGAGCAGTGGCCCGCGACCACGGTGGTGCTACCGAGTCGCAACTGTCGGGTTGCAACTGCCAAGATCAGAATGATACCTTAAGAGTTCTCGTCCTGTGGGGAACTTAGTTGAAGAGCCAAAAATGGGCGATCACAAAATTACTTTCTACAACACGGCCCGTGAACTTGGCCGCGAAAAATGTTTGGCTTGAAAATGAACCAATGTATCATGTTCTGAATTCAATGTGCGTCAATGGACCAAAACTGGTTTCTACTGTACCTCTGCCCTTTTTAGAGAATCCGGGTCTGGAAGATCACGGTCGGCTTCACCAGAGTACCGAAAACCTCTTAAGGGATTCATGTGGTCGTAGAAACTCCTGTGACTACCGTGTGTACCAATAACTGCGTACCAACTTTGATTTTGAATACTGATTTGTAGGCTTTTTACTGGTGGTTTATTATTTTCATTATTGATTATTGCTATAGTCCATCCGTTATTACTATGCCGAGATGTAATTATGCAGTGTTAACTTTTTTACCTCCCGTCGTCGATTAAATATAAACAATCTTTCAAACAAAATGCAACGCGTTATTGTTGACGTGCAGAATCAGAATAAACAAAATAAGGAGCGGTTAAGCGATACTAGGTCGTATGGCTTACGTTAAAGAATGTTAATTGAAGCGAATTTCGCTTGCATCCAGTTTTAGAATTGCAGTTTAATTAGCATGAGCTAGGCGTAAACAACATTACTGTAATCAATAAGGAACATTTGCCGTCAGGAAGTACACGTTAGGAATAGACTACTGGGTATCGGAACAAATTTAGTTAATAATTCCTCTTTTATAGGTAAATAAAAAGTGAATGCAAGCGAAATTCCCTTCAGTTAACATTCTCTGAAGCAAGCGATACGACCTAGAATCGCATAACCATTTCGGTACCTTATTTTGTTCATTCTTATTCTGCACGTCAACAATAACGCGTTGCGATTGTTTGAGAATTGTTTATGTTCAATCGACGACTGAATGTAGTTCAACGATAATTAGTTGTTAATTTGCCCTAGCTTTTATACGAGGTGGGGTGGGTCGCAAAAATAAGTCAAATTTTGTTTTTTTGCCATGAACGTGGCCTTGAGCGGACAAGAATATCCTTCGTCGACCTAATTTATCCAATTTTTTTTGGAATTGACGATATCTATTTAAAAAAATCACAGATATCGCAATCCATACAACAATCGGAGACATTAGAAGCAAACATAAATAACTCTTATTGTCGACTCGCATTTTACGAAACGTCAACGTCACGTCATCGACCGGCAACGTCACGTCAAAATATTGTATTTTTTATACTGTTGATACGGTACTTACTTAAAAGTTCCGGATCGGAACGTCACTCTTCTGAATAATAAGCATGCTCGTAGAGACTCCTGTGACGGGGGATATGCGAGAATTTTAGATTGAAATGAACAAAACAATTGAGCACTTTTAAGTAAGTACCGTATCGACAGTGTAAAAAAAAGTGAATTTGAGAACAGGTGGGTATCTAGTTTTACGAACCGCGGACGGTAAACTAAGAAGATGGTCTACGTTGTAGGCGTTTTAAATGGAGGTTGCTGCGCCAAAAAGAGAACACAGCAGGTAAGGCCTTAAAAGCACTAAGCCAGTGACAAACCTGCCTTACCTATTGTTATATCTTTTTGGTGCAGCAACCTCCATTTAAAACGCCTATAACGTAGAACACCATTCTTAGTTCACCACCCGCGGTTCGTAAAAGAAGATACCCACTTGCTCTCTGACCCGAATGCCATGTGTTAGAACGGCAAAGATGTATAACCTCATAGACGGTATTAATATAAGCGCTAGTCCGATATGCGAGCTTACTAATTTTACGGACTATATCCGCGAATTTTCCTTAACCTACCGATCATGGCCGAGTACGGTACAATTGTCATGTGGTGTGACACCGTTGTCTTTTGGCCGTAGCCCGTAACTTTGTATCCATATAGGAAAACATAAACATTTTCAATGTTAAAATTGAACTTAAAAGCTTCTAAAGGTCAGCACACAAAGTGCAAAACGTGACCCATTTAACTCAATCTCCCAGAATTGAGAATGCCATGGCGGGGGGGGGGGTCTACATTTTCACTGTGCAGCTAGAAAATGGATTTATTCTGTAAAATTAATTTCCGTAATAATTACTAAGTATAGACACGCATCGTAAAGAGATACCTATATCGACTATATCCTTGTATTTAATCGCTCTATTAAGGTCCATAAACCTATGATTAACTTTTTAGGCGGAACCTTGTAAATACAGCCATGAAATAGAAACTATGCTATTGCGCTTCGCCAGTTATAAGGTGAACCATAAAAAACTGCGGAACTAATCAACGGGAGTAGTATCATCAGGTTATGAATACACTGTGAACCGGGATATAGTAAACGCATTTTTGATCTACTTTAACAACAATGGTTAGGAGTAATTTCCTGTACTTTTTTGTTGCGGTTTAGAAATTGGTTATTTTCGAATTTCATATTTGTACACAAAAGTTGATAATGGCCAGCTTAGAACTTAAAATGACTGTAATTAATAATGCCCTAGAAATTCATACAATTTTTCGCCATCTGAAAGTATATAATTTCTCACGTTTCTATTGTGGTACAATTCTCATATTACATTGCTTCCAGTTGATAAACTTCCATCTAATTAATTAACTACCATTGTGAAATTATAAATTGAAAATGCCATAACCACTGCATTGTTAGGCATTTCAAGATGTTTATTGCGATGCATGCAATTTGAGCAAAGACATTGCATACAGGGCTCAGTAAAAAACACCAAGTTTTCAAGAACGGTAGTGGTAATTCACAACAATATCATAACGTAACATCTACATTTTTATAGAACTCGCTATTCATTATAGTACCTACCTCCTAATACTAGACCATCAATAGTAATGACCTTAACAATTAAATTATGCGTGTAAATATAAATTTGGTCAACTCTCTTTCGATTGACTAACATCTTAAAGTTCGCGGGCATCTGCGTACACGAAAATGTAAATTTGTGAATATCATAATGTTCGAAAGTTGTTTTTCTATGTAGGTCAATGTAACGACTATACCTTTTGCAGGACTTTGTTGCTAATGAAATTCCTCATAAACATATCGTGTAGAAAATAAGATTGCGGAGAATAGATGGACATTATTAGTCCTAACTAATTAAAATGATTGATTAAACTATTTGATATCATTTCAATATTGATGTTTCAGGTTTAATGTTTTTAATTTGTCAACAATCTAGCAGACAAAGTAGTTCAAGATTATCTTTTTTGTACTATAGCGGCTATTAGTTACATTTGCATTGAAGATTTTTTTATATTATTCGTTAGATAGGTACCACACAGTCTTAAGAACTGAAGAATCGTTTGTAGTAGCTACAGGCGGCAAACAACGGATGATCCAGATTAGGTTTTAGGATTTGAATTACGCGCCATTTTGGTTCTATAAATCACTTTAAACAGTCGGTATCTAAACACATTGCGCCATGTTATCTCTGACAGGAGCAACATCAATTGACCAGCTATGTCTTGCGATCTAATCCCACTAAATTTCCCTCTGAGGCCATTTGAAGTGAAGGGTCTATGTCAACAAACCTGCTACGATTGCAGAACAAAATGAGGACATCAGACGTGCAAATGCTGAAATCGAACCGCATTCATTGGAACTTGTTACGGAAAACTTCACTACAAGAACGGCAGAGTTGTGAAGGGCATTTGGACGACATCACACTTTATACATAATTGCCAAGTCTACAGTTTACACAAAATTATTTGGAATTTTAGCAGTAAGAAGACACATATTCGTCATATTCGGAATAATCTGTAGAGATGCAATTCAGTTAAGGTTTTGTGCAAGGTTTAATACGGTTTGTCCGTTAAAGGAGGAAATCTTCGTTGATTTTGAAATAGTACTTTAAGAGAAAAATGTGTAATCAAGTCTTTGAAGCACGAGCAACGAGTTTAAATGTTGCAAAGTGCTTTAAAGACCAATTATACGCTGTTTCTTATAGTATTTTATTAATTATACCTGCAATATAATTTAAAATTAAGCGAAATAAAGTAAAATCATATTGATGTTATTCTCGTATATCATTATTATTCTAATTGAGTGCTGTTTTATTCTTAATTCTTTA